CTCTCTCTCTCTCTCTCTCTCTCTCTCTCTCTTTTGGCTGCATAAGGAACATCAATGACCTGGCAGCAAATGCTGCATCAGTAACCACCACTTGAATGAAACGTTTAACGAAAAGACAGCTTAAATTAATCAGCAATGTATATCTGTAAATATCAACTCTACTTAGCATACTGTGGAATCTGATGGACTATTGATAAGACTGAAACAAATTTCATATCAGATGTATATGTTTGTGACTAATCTTACACTGAGTCTTCAATCACAAGGCAGTGAACTGCATCCACGCCCATTTGCTTTGCTGCCTCTTCAAATCTGTAAAAGTTTGGGAAGTACATTAATATCAGCTAAAAGGAAAATAAAATGTATATGAGACGATATTTTATTCTTAACAGAAAATTGAAGCGAACACTAGTGGAAATGTTATCGTTCTGATACTAGTGAACACTAGAAAACGGAAGTACAGTAATGAAATTTTTTCCTGCCACAAGTTTTTGCTGACATCATTTCAGCAGATTTCTTTTCTATTTTCATGGAGACTGATCAGGCCTTTAGATGCCTTCCATGTTGAAAGGGGTGGAGAATTCCAAAGTTCCATTTGTACATGTTCAAGGAAGCATTAAGTTTTCTGTGAATTCACTACTTACAAATCTGGAGAGGGCTTCCCCGCTTTAACCTGGTCACTGCCAAGAATCACTGAAAACCTTTCTTTCCAACCTATATCGATGTTTAAATAAATAAGACATGAGAATATCAGAGAAACCACAGGCCATCCATTATGTTAAGGAAATTTGAATGAGAATAACACAGACTTGAAGGTTATTTTAGAACATTTTAACATGAGAGAGAGAGAGAGAGAGAGAGAGAGAGAGAGAGAGAGAGAGAGAGAGAGAGAGAGAGAGAGAGAGAGAGAGAGAGAGAGAGAGAGAGAGAGAGAGAGAGAGAGAGAGAGAGAGAGAGAGAGAGAGAGAGAGAGAGAGAGAGAGAGAGAGAGAGAGAGAGAGAGAGAGAGAGAGAGAGAGAGAGAGAGAGAGAGAGAGAGAGAGAGAGAGAGAGAGAGAGAGAGAGAGAGAGAGAGAGAGAGAGAGAGAGAGAGAGAGAGAGAGAGAGAGAGAGAGAGAGAGAGAGAGAGAGAGAGAGAGAGAGAGAGAGAGAGAGAGAGAGAGAGAGAGAGAGAGAGAGAGAGAGAGAGAGAGAGAGAGAGAGAGAGAGAGAGAGAGAGAGAGAGAGAGAGAGAGAGAGAGAGAGAGAGAGAGAGAGAGAGAGAGAGAGAGAGAGAGAGAGAGAGAGAGAGAGAGAGAGAGAGAGAGAGAGAGAGAGAGAGAGAGAGAGAGAGAGAGAGAGAGAGAGAGAGAGAGAGAGAGAGAGAGAGAGGCAATCTCCATAATTACTATAAAGATCAAACTGGCTCAAGGAATGAAATAAGTCAACAAAATCATGCCAATTTGCCATTATCAACAATAATCAATTTTTTTTAATTACTTAGCAGAGGTAGCTTCAATCTCAGCTACCTTTATTAAAGACTACAATTAAGAAAATAAAAGTAACAATCAATAGTAGGGCAAGAGGCAGCAACACAATGACTTTTCATTTCATTGTTAAATTTTGGCTCAGCAAAGTGATATTATATATGTTATTAACAACAACAATCAAAAGCTAAGTATTTAGGAACCTGGAGAGGTAAAGAGGAAATTGTACAAACCTCGATGGTGAGAGATCTTTGCATCTATGTATTCTCGTAAGGAGTTCGAAGCAAGAGCTATAGGCACGCCACGGTCATGGAAATGTTTGATAAGGCGATTAGCACCAGGAAGAGCTTTCGTGTACAACCACCTAAATGTACACACTCAACAACTTAGCACATAAGGAGACAATTCAAAGGCCAGCAACAACACATGCACATACAAGTAAATAATAAAATGAGAATGCTTATCAATTATCACCACGCTGAAATCGGTACTACATAGCTACTATTTTAAAACGTGGGGCTTGATATCACAAAAGCTCTTTGCTTGCTTCCAGAGAACTTTCAAATGTGTTGAGACATCTAAATGAATGCTCACATCACATGTACACTAATGATATGAGATAAATTTGAAAACTGGGAGCAGCTCAAACAAGTATGATTATATATATAATTATGGTTATCTGTGGCATAGAGAAAAGCCTTACTTTTCTTGATACATGGGGATGATTTCTTGGATAAACTGATCAGGGGTCAATGGGAGATCATAGCCCTTAACAACAGAAGTTGCCGAGTCTTTCAATGTCATCCCCAAACTCTTCTTCTCTTCCCTTTCCTTATCCAAAACTTTCCCATACCTGGCCAAGAATTCCTGGAAAACCCCCCTTGTAGCCCGCTCTGAACCACAGGCACAAACAAAAGACACAAGAGTTTGATACTTAAACAAAAAAGAGAGTAATCCAGCAAGCCAAAACAAATGGGGTTTTGAATTAGGAGAAGATATTTGAGACCTGTGTCTATAAGGGTCCCATCCAAATCAAAAATGACAGCCAAGATCTTGGGTTTTGGGGCCTCTGCATTGCAGTGTTTGGAGGCACAGTCACAGCAGCTCATGGCTGGGCCAAAAGGGTCAGTCTTTTTTGTGTGTGTGCAAATGAGGAATTGTCAAGAGAGGTTTTCCAAAGATTGAGAAAAACTGTAAACCAAGAATTTGATTGGAATTGGTTTTCTTCTGTTTGTGTATGTCATTATATAAACCATCTGATGGGCAGGGCAAGTTGTGAGTGGTTAAGCCAAAATATCTTTTTTGGGTGTTGTGAGGAAGAAGATGGGTTTGCTAGCTTAATGGGCATTCGAATGGCATTGTTCTAAAGGTGCTTACGAATTGAATGCAAGTTGTGATCGAGATGAGATATTGCAAATTGAAGGAAGACAAATTCACTCTCCTCTGTTTTTCCTTTCTTTTATTTTCAGCAGAATGATTCTTCACAATACGTACTTCCACATGATATTTTTTTGGATCAATTGCCACGATTTATATATAAATATATTTTTTCTTTTGGTGAAAAAACGATGCAAATTATTATTATTTTCTTTGTTTGGTAAAATGGGCTGGGCAGAGTCTTTCTCTTATGTTTGGTAAGCAAAACGTTACGTAGTGTTCCAATTCTCTACGGACTTGGCATTTCCTGTGGCGGATCCGGATATGCCTTCTCTTTGTTTTGATACTATGCCGACGGATAAAACTACAAACAACCTCCAATTAAAGATAAATAAATAAATGAAAAAAAAAAAAAAACTCAGACTAACATTTTTGTTCTTATTTTTATTTTTATTGTTGGACCAAACTAACACCGTTGCAGTTTCGACACCGAAAATGGCTCTTTAATATTTTAGCAAAAAATGTAAACGTTAATATTCGTCTTTAACAAAAAAAATTAGAAGAATATAATGAAAGTCTATCTATGCTGATAGCAAAATTTGTAAATTTTCAAAGTCTTCATAATGAAATTCAACACAAGGATATAGCCGGCTGGCTTGTCATGCCAATTGGAGCCATTGAGTTGAGAAGGTGCACGTTGGCATGATAAACTTTTGATTGTAATGGCAATTGGAGCCATTAATTCAATCTTGTATTTCTTGTTTTGAAAAAAGAGTCTTGCAATCATGTTTGTGATTAGCAAACCAATACCCTTTTTTTTATACCAAAAAATATGTAAATTATATTGGGGAATGGGAATTCGAACATGGAGCGGCATTATTATTGTTAAAGTGATTACAGAGGCATTATCAAACATGCTGGAACGAATATGTTCTTTAATTACAATCCCACTTCAAACAACAGCTTTCAGCTGGTAGCCAGCCCAGGAACCTGTTCCTTTATACTTAAAGTTCACGCCATTCCAGCGTTCGAGCACGACAAGACCCATACCAAGAAGAAGCTACTTGGGTTGACAGGTTAAAGGTGGTGCCGATTAGATAACTCACAAGATCCGAGGTATGTTTTAATACGAAACGAACGTCGACTTCGAAACTTTGTCCAAGTTGAAGGAACTATACTCTTGTGAGTTATCTAATCAGATCCATTCCTAGACACCAAACATAGGCTCAATGTGACAAAGCGGATTACTTTTCTCACCATATTCTTCCATGTCGTCATTCGATGGGTAGTAATGTCTAAAGTGCATTTTATAGATTGTTGCAAACAGTATCCAACATGAAACAATCAAACTAGATACCACTTAACATACACGTCTAAAGCATAACAACAAAGTAAGAAGCAAGAAGACCGAGTAGACTTCTAATATAACAGCGTCAACATACATTCATATTTAGTACACCAAACAGCGCAGATCAGTATGAATTCGTCCATCCGGGCTATGGCATTTTCACTAATACAAGAAAATCAAGCAATCAGGTCAAATCCTCTATACTTCATCCGAGATCACCGAAAAGGGAAAGGTAGTGCGAATGCAGCTCATACCATGTCCAGATACAATGCTATAATAAACCACACCACATAACACGGGGCTTGACTCAAATGGAAAAATAAAAATAAAAAAGAAAGAAAATCAGTACAAAAATAAGAACATGGTAAACAATAAACTCCTA